TTAATCTATGGGTTTTTGCTCAGTCTGGTGTCAGTTACATGAAGATATTTGACCTTGATCAGAACCATCTTACTCATAGGGAAATATGGAAGGTACTAACATTCATATGTTAATTGGTGAATTATATAATTTTGTGCTTTTAATAACTTGTGTATATCCTTAAAAATTTAATTTATTTTTGATTCTTTAAGCCCCATGGATATCATGGTCATGGTTGGCTCCAATGTTTGAGGAGAAATGGGTTGGGTAAGATTGAAAGAGGCTGGACCCCCTGGAGGAGCTGCACTATGTATCCTCTGGAGAGGGATCAAGCCATCGTAGTTCCTGCGGCAAGTGTAAGGTTTGAGAGAAACTGAGAGATGAAGAGGGGAAGAGGGGCTGTACCCCAATGTTGGGGGTGCTCCCCTTTGGTTTAGGAATATTTATGTTTTGCTCTTTTTTTTTTGATTTCTTTTTGAAGGGCTACACAACGGGGGTAGCCCATCCCCCAACCCAGGGGCAGGCGGGATTTGATCCCAAGTCTCCACTATGACCAGCAGGAGACCTTACCAACCAGCTGGTTGGCACCTTGCAATATTTATGTTTTGCTCTGACTTACTGCTTGGTGACTCGGGTTGGTCATTGGACTGGGTTGACTTGGTTTCCACTCGGGTGGTTTAAACTAGGTCTATGGAGGTTCATGCTCTCAAAGATGCAGTTTTTGTAATGTTCTTTTTTTGCTGGAGTAGGAAAACTTAATGCTAACAAAACCCCAAAAAGCAAGAAACTTTTTCTATTATGGATATAGGAATATATGAGCAAGACACTGCTCCGCCGGTGTTTAGTAGGGGTATTTGGTGTTATTTGGTTAACAAGGTATTTGTTGAGGACGATGGGGTGGCATAATGTTAGACCTCCACAAGTCTTTGGTAGGGATTTTTGATGGGTGTCATCTTGAGATTTTGAAGGTTGAGAGATGGTTATTGCAAGGGTGGCCATCATGAAACCAACTTCTAGGTAGAGCTGGAGGCTCTTTTTTTTTTTTTTTTTTTTTCCTTGGTCATGGTGGTAGGTTGTTCAACACCTTGTGGCTTTGCTTTGAGAAATAGGGAGTATTTTGGGGAGATTACTTTTTCAGGTTGTAGCGGTAATTTAAAATGGCTTCAAGGAAATACATTCAATTTTCATGTTTCTTCTCAATTTTTGGTGCAGAGATACATTCAAGGAAATTTAAGATTGCCTTGAATTTCTTCTCAGTGATGGAAGAAAATAATGTTTGTTCAATGGAGAATTGCATATTTGGTGTGTCTTCTAGTTTAGGGTAAGTCACTTTTGATGGTACCATTTTCTTTTCTTTTTGATCAGCAACACAAAAAATTTCATTAATTATGAGAGAAACATGATTACAACAAGAAGTTGGGATAGCTATAGAAGCTATCCCAAAATGATTTAATGAAAGTGTTATTGATAAAAAAAAAAAAATAGAAGCTATCCCAAATCTGTACTACATTTGAGCCCAAAACATATGTGTTCTATGTACCCCTTGCTTGGCTAAGCTATCTGCCAAGCTATCAGCAGCTCTCACCCATTTCACTCGGATTAACATGTCCTGTGACAGCCATTTGAATTTTCTGAATTCATTCCTCAAGTGCCATTCCACCCCCTCCCCTTTAATCAGCCACTTAACCACAGTTTTAGAATCTCCCTCAATAATCAGCCTACTAATACCCAGTTCTTTTGCCTTCTCAACCCCAAAAACTGCTGCCAAAAACTCTGATCTTGCCACATCACCCTGCTCCACAGGGCCAGAGTATAAGGCAATTATGTTCCCCTCTTCATCCCTAATGACTCCCCCAATACCTGAGGGGCCTGGGTTACCCAAATAGCTCCCATCAAAATTCAGTTTCTTCCAACCATTTATTGGGGGAGACCAAGCCTCAACAGATCTTTGTCTTGTAGTTGAGGATGCAGCAATAATACCCCAAGCTCTGAAGAAATCTTCAATCTTGAAATCTGAAAACAGCTTCAAGCTTTTTGCCCAATGTGCTATTCTCAAATTTTTTTTTTTGAAATATCAGTAGAAAAATTTCATTAAATTGAAAAAGAGGTACAGTACAAGAACCTTTGGTTGTCAAGTTGACAAACCGAGCAAAGGTACATCACTCAAACTGAAAATAAATCTTCATTATGGGGCTGTAACTCAAGAGTACTCCAAACAAATCAGCTTTGTTCATTGTGTCAAACTCTGGGAGCTGTAGCACCCAATATGAAATCAGATTGCTCACTGCGGCTACCAAGTGATCAATGGACTTTGCCTTTTCTTCAAAGATCCTTCTGTTCCTCTCATTCCATATAGCCCAGCAACTGCAAATGGAATGCAGCTCCACATGATTCTGGCTTTCTTGCTTCCTCTGGATTTTGGCCATTTGGATCAGATTTCTGCTGGGGATAGAGGTTGAAAGACATTGACCCCAAACTGAAAAGAGAAAAACTTCCAAATGAAATTTGCTGCACTACAAGAAAAGAACAGGTGCAGAACTGTTTCCTCCTCCAAGTTGCATAAGTAACAGAAGCTTGCCATGTGAAACCCTCTGTTCTTCAAGTGATCTGTAGTAAGAATGCTGTCATGTGCTACCAACCAAACAAATGCCTCAATCCTAGGGGGTACTGGATTACCCCATACATCTTTTATCCGTCGTCTCCGCACTTTCTCTTGTTATTGCCTTGTAGAAAGACTTCACTGAGAATCTTCCTTCTTTGCACTCTTTCCACCAAAGACCATCTCCTGTGCTCCTAGAGATACTTGTGCCTTCTAATTTCTCCAGCAGCAGAATACATTCTTCAACTTCTTGATCAAGTAAAGGCCTTCTAAACTTTGGAGATCAAATCAGCTGCTCCCCTGTCCATTCATAGCACTGATTGATTGTGATTTGCTGCTCAGACAGCCTGTATAACCTTGGACAGACGTCACAGAGTTTCCCTATCCTGAGGCATTCATCTTCCCAAAACCTCATTTGACTCATTGCCAACTTTGAAACTGACCCGACCCCTGAACTCCTGATTAAATCTCATGATCCCTTTTCAGATGCTTACCCCATAAGAGCTCCTTACTTYCCTTGGTTCTCACCCAAACCTTGCTACTCAGTGGTGATTATTTGGTTGTGCTTTGGGTAGCTGTGGAAGGAGAAAACAACATTTGTAGTAGTTCATCCCAACAATCTCAAGCTAGTTTCTATTATTTGTGTAGACTTGGATATTCATGTTGGGATCCTGCTTCAAGGGTGATGTAGACTTTGAGAGGATTCGATTAACTCTCGGCTGTTTGAATCCTATTTTCTTCCCTCCATTTTCTCTTTTTCTTCTTTAATTCTTTTGACTGAACCTTCCTTTAATATTTACTTATTTTCTTCATCATTCTAAGAGATTCAAGTCAGACTACAYCGTATCAGAGCACTCATGGTCGATTGGTGATTTGGTTTATCCCAGATGCCTTGTTCTATTGTTTTTCATTTCAAACTCATTCTATACATTTAAGGAAAAGGGACACAAAAGGACTGATCATCCCTTAGAGGAGGCTTTAATGCCTCAAGTTGTTCCAGTTTGTATGTTG